GAGAGAGAGAGAGAGAGAGAGAGAGAGAGAGAGAGAGAGAGAGAGAGAGAGAGAGAGAGAGAGAGAGAGAGAGAGAGATCCTTCTCATGACTGAAGTGGGCAGTACGTTTCCTTTTTTGTATTTTTTTCCCAGTCTATATAAAATTCTAAGTGCTTGTTTGCGTTTTCTGGATCTCCAAAAGCGTGTGCCATGGTTGCGCGGCGTGTGCCATGGTTGCGTGTATGCAACTTGGCATTTTGGCATTTTGGCATTTGCTTTTGTTTGTTACGATCCTGGTCATTCCCAAAGTGCAAATTCACAATGAAAGACAATGCCACCCGATTGTGAAAGAAATGAAAGCACTTGCAAAGAGATAGAGACCAGAGAAGAGAGAAAGAAGAAGAAGAAGAAGAAGAAGATGTACACCAGCAAGACCAATGACAAATCCCCCTTCTCTCTCCACCTTCCTCGTCCCCAACTCCTCCAATCTTATTCTTCTTCCCAATAATAATAATAACAGTGAGTGGATGAACCAGAATCAATATCCGAAGTTCCCTCTTACTGCTGACACAACAACCACAACAGGTCCACCATAGCTATGGCTTCCCCCCCTTCTTCCACTTCTCACAAGCCTAGGCTATGGCGGACAACCGAGGGCTCTGCCCCTCTCTGTGCACAGGACAACACAAGCAGCTATGGCGCTGCACTCCTGTCCAAAGGACAACCCAAACCAGCTATGCCGTTGCTGACTAAGCCGCCATGCCTGACTCTGCCTCGAGCTTCCTTGGTGCGGCACTACTCCAGCTGGGGCCTTCCAGATGCAGCGCCCAACAAGGTAATGAAGATGGTGTCCACCATAGCCAGGTAGGTGCCTGGCCATAGCCCCCTTCTTCCTCCTCCTCAGGCTGGGCTGCTCGCCATAGCCAGGCTGAGCGCCCAGCTGCCCTTCACCTCCAGGGAGCGCTGTACCAGTCCAGCGCTTGTCTCAGCAGCATGTCGCCAATCCTTGCATATCGCGAATGGGGAGCTACTTGCTCCCCCGGAAGATATAGCGACCTACTGGCCTCTTGGGCGGTGACTTCCTAGGCCGAGCGGCCTCCCAGCAACCGGTACCTCCATCGTCGGGACAGGCCCTAGACCCGGGCTACTTGGACTGGTACCGGCCTACCTCTAACCTACCGCTACTTGTCCTCTAAAAATCCCAACTTTTTGTCTTCTTCTGCTCGGCCTCCAGTAATTGACACTTCTACCACTACTTGAGTGGTACCGGCCTACCTCTAACCTACCGCTACCGGGCCTCAAAAAATGCCAACCTTTTGTCTTCTTCTGCTCGGCCTCCAGTACCCGACACTTCTACCACTACTTGAGTGGTACCGGCCTACCTGCTACTTGAGTGTTTTTCCCCGCTGCTCAGTGTCGCAGGCCTATCCTCAACTTGAGTGTTTTCCCCGCTGCAACCCTCAAAGTCACGGCCACAGGTAAGTAATGGCCCTGCGGGGCCTTTCAACCAACAAGTACCCTTGCGGGTCACACACAAACTCAGCCGACAAGCACTCAGACAGGCATGCAAACCAGCAGGCACGCACACACACACAGACATGGAAACCACAGCAGAATGGGGAATCTCAGCAAGGCATTCATTCCGCCGGCAAATCTCAGAAATCAGCAGTGTTCTCAGTCTGTTTTTGGCGGGTCATTACATGTTTCTCTTTTTTCCGGATGAAAACAGTAAGTTCTGTTGCGCATTAGAAACCACCATGAATGTGCTCATGTTTCTCTTTTTTCCGGATGAAAACAGTAAGTTCTGTTGCGCATTAGAAACCACCATGAATGTGCTCATATCTGCGTTTGCTTTTGCAGGCGAAGCCGGAACAGGTTGTCTAATGTGTATATTATTTCTCATTGTTGGGGACCATTTGCGTCACAGTAAAAACTGCTCTGCTCATGTGTACCATCAATATGTGAATAATGATATGTTGTAGAAGTCCACAATCAGAGGAACACTGGATTGTGTGCGGGTGCAGCTGGCTGGAAATCCAATCAGAGCTAGTTTGCGATGGACATGTTACTGATCTGTGCTTCTGTAGTCAGAGTTATTCAAGGTCTGCTTCAAATCCGTTGTTTTATTGTGCACTGGCTTGTGTGTGTGCTTGTGGGGGTTCCACCAGGTCGGAGCAGGCGAAGGCCTTTGAAATGGCACTGATGGCCGCGGATGTTTCAACCACCACAAACACCGAGGCAGCTCCAGCAGAAGGTATGTTGCTTGGTGGTTTTGACGAAGTCGCTATCCAAGCGCTGATAGTAAACTCATTCATGCCGCGTTAAATGGTCTGATATTTGACCAAGTCGAAGGTGTAATGGTCAAGCAGGCACATGTGTTTTCAGTGATGTGTTTTGCTACTTTTCGGTGATGATTTGTCAGGGATGTATGTTGAAAGTTTGTCTTGCTACTTTTCGGTGATGATTTGTCAGGGATGTATGTTGAAAGTTTGTCTTGTGAAGCCGGATTTCGTGATTCATTTTCTTTGTGTGCTCGGGCGAAATGACGTGGAATGACACTATCAGATAAGGTCATGATCCATTGCTGTCCAAAAAAGTGAGGCCGAGCTGCACTCCTGATGTGAAACCTATCCTGTTTTCCTGATGTGCGTGGGCGCAGGTGGATGGAAATTCAATATGAGCACACAATTCAATAAGGGCCACTGTTCATTGTAATCATTGTAATCATTGAACTGTTAGTGAAGACTTCCTCGTCTTCTCTACTTCTTCACTGCCTTTGTTTGTCTCTGCTGGTAATGGTAGTGATCATCTATGTAGGACTCACAGTGGTCCTTGCTTCAAGACATCATTGCAGCTGATAATATTTCTTCTGTTAGCATCACTTGTGTTCTCGAGGAACCAAGTGCGTATTCCTTGTTGCAGAAGCGAAACCCATTGTATGCTTGTCTGAATGAAGGTGAAAGCTGTCACAGTGCTCTCTACATCCGAGCTTGGGAGCGGGCACTTGCCAGTGGAAAACAACGACGAGTCCTTGCGTGTTCTACATGAATTTGCATCTCAGTTGGGGTCTACTCGAGCCCACCGTCTGAGGTCGACTGGAACTGCCCTATTGCAGGTGGGAGGTTGGTCATCTTTGTCTGTGTTTGTCTGAATGGAGGTGAAATCTGTCATGGTCATGTTTGTCTGAACAAAGGTGAAAGCTGTCATGTTTTCCGAGTGCTGTAATACGAAAGAGCGGAAAGGTGAAAGCTGTCGTGTCTTCCAGATGCTGTCATTCTATACAGGTTTCCTCACTGGGAGTTGTAAAGCCTGGGCACTTCTCTGGCTCTTTTTCATGGCCAAAGCTCATGACTTTTTGTCATCGAATCGCCCTTTTCGTAAATCTCCTGTTTTCAGTGTTTTGTGCGGACTTTGGTCAGGACTCAGGAGGATAGATTGATTACCCAACACGGGTAGCGATCGCGGTGTTTTCTGGGTTCAATCCTTCCCAAAGCCTGAACTGTTGCGGGTTTGTTTAATCACTGGGCCTTGTCAGGGGTAATGGGCCAAGGAAGAAGTAGCTGATAGCTTGGCTTGCCTTCTGGTTTTTATTTTTCCGTTCGTTCGATCCTGCAGGACCTCCAGAATTCGATGACTATGACCTTGCGGATCCTGTTGATATCCTATCCCAACTGAAGAGCACCTTCTGGGATGGTGTGGTGAGTAATGCTTCAATGACCCGTTGTTTGTTTGGAGACTCGGTGTTTGGTCGCTAGACTTAAAAATGTGCTGCAGCATTTTCACGGTGACCAGCTAGGAATATGAAGTTATGTCGCACACCTCAACAGGCACACTGGCTACGAATATGAAATTATGTGGGAAATCTCAACACCCATATGATATGTCTTTGCTCGCTACGCTGAGCATGACCACTGTGGATCTTTTATGCTGACGAATGAGAATCTCTCGGCTGGTTGCAGGCAATGACAGATCATTCACTATTGTAGAGGACGTGAAAAAAAAGATAACCGCACTCCCAACTGCTAACTGCCCAGCTTGAGCCCTTGTTTTTGGTTTCAGACTTCGGTGCCCTTTGACACTCCAATCGTGACCTTTTTTTTTGTTTTCGTTTTCCTTCAGAAATCAAAAAAATGGTCAGAGAGGAAGGAAGCTGTCGGAGAGCTTGTACAATTGGCATCAGCAAGAAAGCTGGCAAGCGGAGACTACACAGAAGTTGTAAGAGTCTTAAAAAAGGTATGCGGCGAGTAAAGTGTTTTTTTTTTTGTTTCTTTCTTTTTCTTCCCCTCCCCCCTTTTTGTATGGGAGGTGGTTATGGCAAGCTGCAGTTATTTTTGTATTTGTACAGACCACCCATGCTCAACTGGGTTGACGCACTGCTGGCATGACATAATGCTACACCGATCTTTTTGGCCATGTAAAAGAGAGCCTTTGTTCACGATGCTTTGCACAAGATAGACTGTTGTGTGTTTCACCTATTTATGGTGTGATAGAAGTATAGCTATTATTTGGCAAATTTCTCAAGGCCAACTAGCTGACAGATCTAATATGGAGACTTGAAGGATAAAGCGCCCATTGTGTTTGTAAGAAACCGTTCTAACTAAAGATATATCAGTTTCCGCAGTTCCTAGTTCTGGTCAGTGAGTATGTGACACACTCCTAGTTCCACCATGTTAGTCTGGCAAGGATGCTTTGCACAAGATAGACTGTATTAAAAAACTGCTTTATCTACTTGGACAGTATTTAACCCCTTTATCTACGTGGACAGTATTTAACTCCTTGTTCCTTGTTCTAGTGAACCGGTCAGCGAGTATGTTACACATTCCTAGTTCGGCCATGTTTGTCCGGTGCTTATCAGGGCCACGCATGGAAGGTTTAGAGGAGTATAATCACATCAGGAATTTCCTAGATGTGTATGGCTTCCATCTTCCGCTGACTTGAACGTATGGTCTATATCTCAGTATCTAGACTGGAAATTGTCCATAATACAGCTTTAATGACTGCATGTTCTATTGGGGCGAAGAAGGTAGTCAGATCTATGGCTAGATTGAGCAGAAAGAAGTCCTTCTCTGAGCACAGCGTTCGTTGTTGGTTCCCTCTCTCTTTGTTGGAAGTGTTCACATTCCTGAGCGATAAAAGAACTGTAGTCTTTCTCATATGATTTCAGCATAGGATTCTGTGCTATGTCGGTATCTCTCACGACATCCACTTGGCCTGAGATGCGGATCATTTGAAAAGACTCTATGTATAAAGGTGGTTGCTGTGGGTGCAAAGGGCAGTGTCACTGATATGTGAGCTTTGCGGTGCCTGACAGTTTGCTGGAAACTGCCGTGGCTGGGATTTGTTCGTCATGAAATATAGTGACCGAAAGGGGTCTACTTTCATTCTGGACCTGAAATGGGGTCAAGGAGATAATGCAATGGGGTCCCCTTTTCGCAGGAGAATTAAATTGCAAATTGAGAAAATTCGAAATTATTGGGAGAAAGAACTCAGTTGGTACACCCGTGAACGAATTGGATGAACAGAATGAAATAATTCTGAATTACCTGGTGCCGATCTGATCAACGATGATATCTCAAGGCTGTCGCCCTTTTTCTTTAAGAGAAAACAGAAGTTATTGGAAGACCCGACTGGGATGGAATCGTGCGAACCATAATTAATAAAAGTTGAGAAATGTGATTCATGCTCTGCTCGCAGGGTATGGAATCAAAGTGTAGGATGAGGTTTACGTTTTTTTTTTTTCCTTTTTTCTTTTTTGGGGTTGTGCTAAGTGCAAGAAAAATTATGCGCTTGTACTCCTGCCCGGAAAGTTACATGAACGGTGTGCCTCCATATCCAAAGATCATAAGGACATTGAAAGCCTGAGCTGAAAGCCATTTCCTAGAGCTTCTAGATGTCCAAGGCTTGATATTGTGCCAAGTTTCAGGCTACAGAAAATGGACCTTCACATGGTTCTGGCATAGTGCAGCAGTTATGGGTTCTGGCTAAAAGTCTTATGTCTGCGATGTTTGTTATGGTCTTCTGCGGTGTATGCAGAGATGATAACAAAGATGTTATAACCCAGCAGAGCTAAAGTGAATCTGTGTATTGTTTACGTAGTTGTAGAGGCTATACCTGCCACAGCCAACCGTGGAAGAGGGTTAAATTCGATGTCAGTGGTGTTTGTTGTGCATGTGGAAATGGTAGCAGAGGTATTCACCCTGCAGAGCTACAGTGAATCTGTGTAACGTTTGTGGCCCTCTTTGTGGTGTATGTGCAGATGATTGCAGATATTNCAGAGCTACAGTGAATCTGTGTAACGTTTGTGGCCCTCTTTGTGGTGTATGTGCAGATGATTGCAGATATTAATGTAGCAGTAGTTGTAGAGGCTGTAAATGCCACAGGCAACCTCGGAAGAGGGTTGAGGAAAGAGTTTGGAGGTTACGCTCGTATCCTGCTTCCAGGGATGCTGGTAAGTGTGACCATGCCTTGAATGTGGATGATCTTTGTAGCTAACTCGATCGTTTGCTTCGACATCGGGAACTTGTGAATGCTAATCATGCAGGAGCGCAATCATGACTTTGCTTGGCAAGTTTTTCTAACTTGTTGTGATCCCTAAAAAAAAAAAAAAAAAAAAAACTTGTGACTCTGTGAGCCGTAAAAAAAAGCAAGGAACTACGGCTTGGTCTTTATATTGCGGGCTCACAAGGTAATGTGAGAGTCCAATCGCCTAGGTATCATGCCGGAAAAAGTTTGTGAAAGTTGAAAGTTCCCTCACTTGGTTATATGCTGGATGTGGGTTCCTAAAATACGCTTCGAACATAATGATCAACAGCAGGCTCTGCATAGTTGGCAGTGAGGATTCGGAGAGGACTATCACAGACTACACAAGTGAAGCAAAGTTTTTTAACAAGTTTTTGTATTTGTCGTCCTTCTTGACATCCGCTCAAACTGGAACGATACGACAAAAATTACTGTGGACCCTGCGCAAGGATGGCATGCATGAATCAAGAAATGGTCCAAATTTTTTAGAACGAAAAAGAAACCAAGTTCTGGATTTGTCGAGCTTTGTGTTTCGGAAAACATGAACATGAGAGGGATATGTAGTTGTAAAACTTGTACTGAGATCCATTGGTGATATAGAAATGTAATAATCACACACAACTAAGGAAGTAACCAGTCAAAAGATTCCGCTTGATGCGCCTGATTGATGTTAGTAGGGTCTTTGGCCAACATGGGTGCGAGTGTAAGCAGGAGTGGGTTGTGTGTGCTGTGTGGGATAGTGTTGGCATTAGACACTGCTGCTATTCGATGCGGGGTGGGGGCAATAAAAAGGGAAGTGTTAGTATGGTCTTTGGCCAACATGGGTGTGAGTGTGAGCGGGAGTGGGTTGTGTGTGGTGTGTGGGATAGTGTTGGCGTTAGACGCTGCTGCTATTCGATGCGGGTGGTGGGGGAAATGAAAAGGGAGGTGCAGCTACTGGCAAAATGCTTGGTCTTTGCGTTAATGGCGGCCCTAACCCTGCCCCCTATGCGGGGCATCATGCAATTTCCCCTTCACCGTGAGAGGTAGCTATGCTTGCAGGGGTTCCATCTATATAGCCTTAGCAGTGGCAGGTAGGTAGAAAGGCGAAAAAAGAATTTGAGAGAAGAATACAGTGCAGTAACTGTAGTAAAAAAACAAAAAAGATTGTCCAGCATAGTTGCGGCGCACCAGTGCGCAGTGCGGTCCGGGGCGGTGCGCACTGCGCTGTGCGCTGGAATGACAACCCAACAAAATCCTAGCAACAAGTATTAAGATCTATAAGATGCAATAATACAAGTAAACCTGAAGCCTCACCTGGAACTGTATGAGAGCAAATCAATTGTAAATCATTTGGATATTCTCCAGGGGATGAAAGGTAGTATTTTTATACTTTCTGCATAGGAGTGTGACTACATCATTAAGCCGCTAGTGCATGGCCCTAGCCTCACCTGGAACTGTATGAGAGCAAATCAATTGTAAATCATTTGGATATTCTCCAGGGGATGAAAGGTAGTATTTTTATACTCTCTGCATAGGAGTGTGACTACATCATTAAGCCGCTAGTGCATGGCCCTAGCCTCGCAGAGATTTTTCTTTTCTTTTCTTTTTTTAAGCCACTAGTACCTTCGCCGCGTGGGAAAATAGCGGGTCTCGGGTGGGCCTCCGACCTTTCTGGAGGGCCGAGACGAAACGACGGCCGTCGATCAGATTTATCAATGGCAGCTGTCGCCGGGCCTGGCCTCTGGATTTTTAGGAGTTTGCGAAAACTGCAGGGACGGCATGAAGCTCCTTTTCCGCACCCCCCGCATTCCTGGACCATAGTGACTGGGGAACTTCACAGTACCCACACACCCCATGGCCCGTGCCGGCTAAGGGGGGGGGGGGGGGGGGGGCTGCAGGGGCAGACAGGGTTAAGCTCCCATCCTGCACCCCCCGCATTCCGGGACCGTAGTGACTGGGGAACTTCACAGTACCCAGACACACACTATGGGGTCTGGTATGCCAGGGGGGGGCTGGGCACCCAATCTGAACCTGAGTCTCCCGGTTATGCCTATATGCTCAACGGGCTCTGCCTTGTTTCAACTACTATCTTACATTTCTTACATCTGTTATCCGTCTGTTGCCCATCCTCCTCCCCTTTTACTTCACATCTCGTCGAATGTTACTTCAGTTTTTATCCTCCCTCCCTGCTTCAATATTTCCTCTTACCCCAGTGTCGTATGCCCTACATTACATTACCCCGACCGCGTGCTATTTTGATTTACAACTTATCCTATACTGTAAGTACGCACACTCTCTCTCATACCTTCCCCCTTTCCTATCCCCCATCAACTCCCTCCTACCCTGCCCCCATTTCTTATCCTCAGTCGGTTGTCTCCGGTTCCACGTACTGTTGCAGTGGAGGTGCAAATTCCATGTCTTTTAGTGGCATTCTTTGTTGCAGTGGAGGTCCAAATTCCATGTCTTTTAGTGGCATTCTTGGGGGCCAGCTGTGAGTATCGTTCACATATTTTTCAAAATCTGGGTTCCCCCTCTCCTGTTTTTTTCCGGGCCCTCCACAGGTCTGTCATAATAGCCATACGCAGGTTCCCTGGAGTGCTATTCCTCGTGGAGATTTGCTTATCACCTACTCTGAAAATGTTGTGCCTTGGGCTTACCGGACAACAATGGCTGGTGGAATGGCTGGTGGCATCAGCCAAACAAAAAAAAAGTCCGCTGCTGGCGGTTCAGAAAAGCTTGGTACACCGTGCAGCGCCTCCAGGCCTGGGTGTACTGGTGGTCTAACCCTCTGTGTTGTCAATGCGCTTGGAGTGTGATAGGCAGTTTCTTTGCAGTTTGTCATGCTTAGAGACCTGCTGTCATCTGTATGGCTTGTGATAGTATGTTCTCTTTCTCAACGTATGGATGCATTGTTCGTCCTGAAGTATTGTGCTATTTTTGGACTGTCCATTGGGCTTTGGATTCGGGGCATATATCCTGGCACCTAAAAAAGGCGTGGAGATAGTTAAAGAGTTCCCAGGTTTGTACTAGAGAGGGAAGAGAGCCTGTTATGCGATCCAGGTAACTGTGTTTTGTGGTTGGATTGAAGAGGATATGATGTTGTTTCTGGGAATTGTGAAGAACAGTCAGGTTTGTGATCGAGAGTGGCGGAAGATTAATGCAAGATCCAGTTAAGTGTTTGCCCGTGCGGTTGGATGGAGGATGACCGGATCTTGTTTCTTTTCTAATCTGCTCTTTCGTTTGCTCTTTTGCCTCGTCTGCCCAGGATAAACTGAAGGAAAAGAAACAGACGGTTCTGAAAGCGCTTCAGGATGCGTTGCAAACTCTCCACAAGTCAGGCTGTGTAAACATTGTGGAGCTTACTGAAGGTGAGCAGGCCCTATAGCAAGACTCTGATGAAGATTGCCCTTGTGTCACCGCTTCACTCCTTTGTCAACGTGCATGCCCTTTAATCACATGTCAAAGGGAAACACAGCAGCAGCCATCTTGGCATCACAGAGATAGTTTGCCCGCCCAATACGGAATCCTCCTGAATGATTGAAAAGCCAGTGTTCTGACAGAGCATGCGTCATTATCAGATCAAAGGCAGTGGGCTGTCGGTGTGACTATGGTCATTGCCACAGTAGTCACAAAGCGTGAGAAGGGGAAGTGCATATTTGCGCAGAAGGTGGCGAGGTACATCTGCTACTAAGACTAGTAGCTGATGCATCTTGCCACATTCTGTCTGAAGAGTTTGGAGACCCATTTACCATTTTTTTTACGGTCGAGTAGTGCGGTGAGGTGCGCTGTGTTGGACAGTGAGTGGTGCGCACGATGCATGAAAACGAAAAATGGGAAAAAAGAGGGTCTGACACTCCAGAAAAGCACCTGCGCGGTATCATGGAAGTAGCCTCTGGATCGTCCGTGGAGTGTGTGTGTGTGTGTGTGTGTGTGTGTGTGTGTGTGTGTGTGAGGCACCAGCCAACCCGCGGTTGGTCTCTCTCTCTCTCTCTCTGTATCTCTCTCTCTCTCTCGTCCTCCCTTTCACACCGCTTAACAACAACAGATGATGGATTGTCCGTTGTGTGTGTGTGTGTGTGTCTGTGTGTGTGTGTGTGTGTGTGTGTGTGAGAGAGAGAGAGAGAGAGAGAGAGAGAGAGAGAGAGAGAGAGAGAGAGAGAGAGAGAGAGAGAGTTTTC